GAGAGAGAGAGAGAGAGAGAGAGAGAGAGAGAGAGAGAGAGAGAGAGAGAGAGAGAGAGAGAGAGAGAGAGAGAGAGAGAGAGAGAGAGCGTTCAAATAGGGTGAAGCCTCCAGATTAATCAGTGAGAGACTAATGAGTGTGAGCCAAACGCGAGCGCCGCAGCCCCCCCTTTCCTCTTATGGCAAAATCTTATATGTTTACTCTCCATATTTAATGAATAATACATATATTGTAGTATGTATGCATTTGTCTATTATGAATTCTTCTTTTATTACTTTATTAACGATCCATTTTTGTATCTAAACTTCGATTATCCTTCATCCTCCTTTCCTCCTCCTCTGCTTTTTTATCTGCCCTCCCCCTCCTCTCCCCCACCTTCCTCACCTCCCCCACCTCCCTCACCTCCCCCACCTCGCCCACTTCCATTTCCGCCATCGCCGAAAAGCTCGACCTTCCTCGTCATGTCCATGAGCAACAAACCTATGCTTCTCCTTCTTCATTCCCCTGAGCAACAAATCTATGCTTCTCCTTCCTTCATCGCCACCCACGCCGCCCATCGCCGCCCATCGCCGTCATCGCCGCCATCGCCCCCGTCGCAGCCATCGCCGAAGAAAATCTTTCCAACGATCCCGATCGCGGCAACAAATCTGCGCTTCTCTTTTTTTTATTTATTGCCGTCTTCGCTACCTCAGCCGCAATAGGGATCTCAAGCCTACCGTCTCATCTCCTCATGTAGTCAAAACTCTATTGTCGCTACTTCTGACGTGGCGCTTCCTTGTCCCTCGTCACGCGCAATTTCACATAGATGAGAAAAAGGTTGCTTTCACTCAGTGTTTTCACTCAGAGATTTAGCAGGTGGGGTAGCCTTTTCATATAATACTAGTACTAGTCTAGTGGTAATGCAATTTTTGTTCATTTTCATTGTTTTATTGTACGGCTTCGTCGCCATCGCCGAAGATCTTCCCCGCCATCACTCTCACAACACCAAATCTATTCTTCTCCTTCATCGCTCCCATCGCCTCCATTCTCGTTCCTGCCATCGCCGCCATCGCCGCCATCGCCGCCATCGCCGCCATCGCCGCCATCGCCGATGAATCCAGCCTTCACAACCATCATCACTATTAGCGCCGCCGCGAAGTCCTTCGCGAAATCTTCTTTTTTTTTTTTTTTTTTTTTTTTTTTTTTGGGAACGAAACATTCTTTCCTCTCTTTTTTTGTATTCCTCCATACGCGGCCAGTTTGAGTCATCTCCTTCGTCGCTGCTGCTATCGCACGAAGCCGGGGTAGCGGTAATCATACCCCAAGTCCGACCCTCTGATTGGCCGCCGCCACAGCTGCCACAGCTGCCACCGACGCCACCGACGCCGAGCTCAACCTGTTTTCCTCCGCAATGGCCGCGTCTGCCATAACCGTCATTTACGACGAGGACAACCTAAAGAAAAAAAGAAATAAAAAGGCCCAGCACAACCTTCTTTAGATCGACGCAATTGCCTGATCATCGTTCCTCTATCGCCTGCGCCGGTTTTTCGTCATATATATGTATAGCAGGTGCATGACTATGTATATACATATAAATATGAGCCTGTGCGTGTATGTGTATGAATGTGTGTATGATGAGTCGGTGAAACTCCGACGAAACAGTTTGTCACAGCCCTTCGTTTGTTGTCCTCTTCTCTCTCTCTGGCTACGGTTTACCGGGCAGTTCTGTTTGTGACGATATATATGTATATCACAGTATATGTACATATATACTTAGAGAGACGGGCTATCAAAGGACCTACATTCCAGATCGACGGCTCGGCTTACTGATGAGTCGGTGTCAAATACTACCAAACAGTCTGTCACACCCCCCCCTTTTTTGTCCTTTTACATGCCTGTATATATGATATATATATACATAGATCGTCAAACAGAACTGCCCGGTAAACCGTAGGCACAGAGGGAGAAGAGGACAACAAACGCGAGGCAGTGAGAAATTGTTTCGTCGGAGTTTCACCTACTCCTCAGGAGGCTAAATACGTGTCTTGAATCCTGGCTGGTTTGTCCCGTC